CTGCATTTCTTACCACTTGGAACACGTAGGAGGCATGGGGCTCGGGGGGCCATACTCATACGAGACTGACCTGCCAATGCCGCAGCCCCTGGACGACCAGTCCTCTCCATCCTTCCTCCTCACAGGCGATTTAGATTCATAACCTGATTTATCGCATCTGCCGCTGCCGCTGTGGCCCAGCTGCTGCCGCCGCCGTGGCTCTCCTTTGAAACTGCTTTCCAGAGCATGTGAATAAAGGCAGGCGCAGGTTTGCTAATGGGCAGAGTAGGCTGGCATGGCTGTGCCAGCCTGCACAGAGCTCCAAAATAGCCCCGGCTTGGGGGCCTTCCAGGCATGCTGCAGAAGACACCTGTTCAATGGGGTTGTTGGAGGAAACGCTGCCTGGCACAACGAGGGGCTGGCAAGGAGCCTGTGTGTCAGTGCCTGGCAGAGCTCCTGCCTGTGCGACCCTGCTGCAGGGAGCGCATTAGGGAGCCTGCATAGACCAGCACTAGCCCAATACTGCCACAGCGCTGTTGCAGCACAAAGCTGCTCCGGTGACTCTCACCCCCATCAGCTAAACACTGTTCATCTCCACAGCAGCACAAGGCCCAAGCACAGCAGTTGTGCCCATGGAAGCCAATGTCTACTGCACACAGCTGGTTTTCAGCAATGCCGAGCCCTCTGCACTCCCCCACAACTGCACCCAGCACTTCAGAGGAGGGGGTACGCTGTGGGCCAGATTGCCAATAGGGCCCAAGCACCTGCTGGAGTCACTTGGGAGTAGGAGCACTTGGCCCTTCAAACTTAGAGCCAAGAAATCCCATATCGGGCACATACAGGCACTAACTGCTTGTGAAGACTGGTTTAGCCTGTCTGTGTCGCTCCAGGAGCAGCCGGTGCCCAGTCCCATGGCTGCCATCACGCGATTCTCCGAACCCAGGGAGCGAGTTTAGCAAGACTCTCCCAGTCTGAGTCACGTCCTGCTCACAGAACGGGGCTGGCTGCAGCTCCCTGCGGAGACAACCTGTGCTTGAACCACCTAGAGGCAGTCACACGCTGCAGAAAGCAGAGGCACTTGCCCTGCCCTGGGTGAGGCAGTTTTCAGTAGAATCATAGTAAGTTAGGGTTGGAAGGGACCTCAGGAGGTCACATCTAGTCCACCCCCCTGCTCAAAGGACCACGAGATTATCCCAGCCGAGGCTTTGTTATCTGGGTCTTCAAAACCTTCAAGGATGGAGCTTCCACCACTTCTCTGGGTAACCTGTCCCAGTGCTTCACCACCCTCCTTGTGAGAAAGTTTTTCCTAATATCCAACCTCAGCTTCCCTTGCTACAACTGGAGCCCATTGCTCCTTGTCCTGTCATCTGCCCCCACTGAGACCAGTCCAGCTCCATCCTCTTTGCAGCCCCCCTGCAGGGAGGTGAAGGCTGCTAATAAATCCCCCTCGGTCTCCTCTTCTGCAGACTAAATAAGCCCAGTTCTCTCAGCCTGCCCTCATAAGTCATGTCTTTCAGTCCCCCTCACCATTTTTGTTGCCTTCTGCTGGACTGTCTTCAATTTGTCCATGTCCTTTCTGTAGTGGGGGCCCAAAACTGAAAGCAGTACTCACAGTCTGGCTTGTAAAATCATGAAAGAGCGAGGGGGGCAAATGAGTCTTCCCCAACACGTCTCACAGCCCTCAGCAGGTCTAGATTAGCAGGAAGTGGTGGATGCTGTTACTGCTGTTGGTAGAGAGGACTTGAAACCTGGAAGAAGCAGCTTTACTCATGTAAGAGATGCCACTTGCTCTCTGGCCACCCTCAGCTCCATAAAATGAGCCACATCCTTGGTCTTGCAGGTTTTATTGGTGCAGCAAAGTGGGTTACAATACAGCAGCCCTATTGCAACTCATTTTTCACTCAGCCCCTTTGTACCAGCAACGACAGCCCGGGGCCTGGGCACTTGCCACTGTGACTATGTGTAGTCAGAGGTTAACAAAAGGGCTTTAGTATTAGATGGAACGGAATAAGCAGCAGAACCACGTCCACTCTTAAAAAACATTCAAACCGAACAAGAGGAACCAACATGTTTATAGTATCATAGTACTTAGGGTTGGAAGGGACCTAAACAGATCATCAGGTCCGACCCCCTGCCCCAGGCAGGAACGGGTGCCGGGACCATATCACCCCAGCCAAATAGCTGCCCAGCCTCCTTTTGAAGGCCCAAAAAATCTAGAATGGGGGGTCCAGCCAGAAGTCTGGGCACACACCCAGGCTTCAACTCACAACTCTTTGGCCCTGGAGTCAGCACACACACCCCTAGGCCACACAGGCAGGTGCTGTAGGAGCACAAACAGGGGTTGAGAGAGCTTTGAATTGAAACCAACCGGGTTGGTGAAAGGAGGAAAAAAGCTGATGCCCACTGAAGCATTTTGCTGTAGATCAGTATTTAAAGACAAGCACAGAAGGCCTGGGACACTTCCCAGTGCACCATTCATACAGGCGTATGCATCAGACACAGGGGAAAAGTGTGGAAATCCAGGAAAGTTTCATACAGGCTAGTGCATCGTTCAGAGGGGAAAAGTGTGGAAATCCAGGAAACAGCAAAGCTGTGCTCTGCACCACTATGGAAATGAAACCCTTCAGGGATATACCTGCAAAGAGCTAAGCACGAGGTGACTGAAAGGAGTCCACAGTCAGTATTCCAGCCTGGCTGGTTTCTGCTTATATTAAAAATAATTGCCTCTAAATCCCCCTAACAAACACTGGAGGCAGCAACAGAAAGCATTATTGAGAGGAATTTTAAGCAGCAGCTGTGGTGCTCCCTTCTACAACCTGGGAACGCGAGCTGCAGCTGGAACGATCGCTTAGTTCGGAGATGCCCTTGGAAGTGACATCAATGACAGTCAAGAAGCAGCAGGAGAAGAGCTGGGATGAGGGGTCTCAAGACACCTGGAGGGGACCACCCCCTTCTCCCCAACCCCAAAAGCCAGCTTCTGAAGCTGTGGACAGACATTGCTTAGATCAGCAGGTGGTGACCTACAGCCCACAGGCCAGATCCAGCCCATGAAGAGAGTGAATCTGGTCTGTAGCACAGGGGATGGGCAGCATACAGTAGTTGGGCATCTCCACTGCCCAGTGCTGTGCATTCCCCTGCAATGTGCTGCCCCTGCCCCATGCCAAACTGCAGCCTCTATTTATCATTGCTAAAGTCACCGCTCCTCATTGCCATTGGTGACAGAAATTTGTGGCACCCAGTGGTGACGATAAGTGAAGGCTGCCAGGGGAGGTGGTGAGAGAGCATCCCCAGCACCAAGCAGGGAGGTCTGGGTACTGCAGAGGGCGTCCGTGGACCACAGCTGCAACTCGGGTACAAGCAGCACCCGCCTGCAGTCTTTCAGTCAAGCCTAACTATTGTCTAAGAGAAGGTTGCCAACCCCTTGGGTCATTCCAAATGGGGTGTGAAATGGTAGTGCACAGATATGCATGCCCAATGCCAAGCTATCCAAGGCATTACACAAGCGTACCTGGAAGAATCTGGTACTATTCTAGTCGGTTGCATTTTGTAACGTTCTGTTACACGCACATGCTCTGTTCTGCAACACAGGCCCGTTCAGTCCTCCAGGCATCCCACAGTGCAGCACAACCCCTGCCCTCTAAGGGGCTGCTCCATCACTCAGGCTGAATGCTCTGGGGGTGTTCTAATCTACTCTTCCACACCTGTTGAGCCACTTGCTGCAGCGGCCAGCTGCACTCAGAGCAATAGGAGGGTGGCTTCTACTCGTTCTCTTGAACGCTTTCAGAGATTATAAACCCAGAGCATGGGACAAGGGCGAGTGTTCCCACCAGGGACAGCAAAACATCCTCAGAGTGTCCTCAAGGCTGGTTCCCGGTCACTTCAATTCCTGAATCTCTTTTTAAAGTTGAGGAGGTTGTACAGGTCTGCCTAGTCACCCAGCCAAGCCTAGCCCTTGTCCAAGACACAAGCACCACATGCTGCCCTTGCTCTCAAACAATGGGCCTCGTTCTGAGAAACGGCACTTGCTCAAAGCTGAGCAGCCACTGGCACTACCTCTGCTTGGACAGAGGGCACCCACTGCAGGCGCCCTGCTGACCTGCAACCACTTTGGAAAAATAAAACACACAAAGAAAGTTTGCAAAATCCCTGAGGAGGCGGAAAAGGCCAGAGCTGGTAATGACAACCATTAGCATTGTCGTCAAACAACAGGGGGAATAATTAGCTCTCTTCCTTGCTGTGGAAACGCAGCTGCAGGTGTCTGAGCTCCCCAGACAAGACACACCACTGTTTGCCTTGCACTGGGGTAGCAGCCAGATCACTCCCACTCCCCAGCCCTGATCCCCAAGAGCTGCTTCTCAGGGCCAAATCCTGGCTGGGTCTTCCCCAGATGACAGCACACAACCACAGGTGCTGCAAGAGAGCTCCCCTACTTCCTTCACCATTTAAATGCTAACATCCATACACTTGACCTTTTCATTGATCAATCCACCGCCCTGCAGAGCTGCTGTTATCCCAGGAAGGGAACTGGAGCCAAGATAATTATGGCTTTTTAGGCCCCTCCTTCCCCCGGCTTGAGAGGAACACTGACTATAAGCCTCCATCTAACCATGGCACAGACAGGCCGGCAGGCAGTCGTGCGAGGCACTAGCAGTCACAGGGGATCAAACAGGCAGGCAGGGAGAGAATACCACTCCCATTTTTCATAAACACATCATGCAAACAAGCCCGACCTGGGGCCAAACTCAGTCTGACCACAAACAAATGCTGCGGAGTCGCATCAAGGCCACGTTAGGCTCCACAGCTATTAGATGAGTCAGGACCACAAAGCAGGACCAGTGATGTTTGATGTCAGGTTCCCTTGCCACTGGGCAACTCAAACTGATGAGAGAAGGGTGGAGGATTTCACTGTCTTGGAGGCCTGTGGGGTCCTGGTTCATGGAGGTCAGGAAGGGGCTCCAAGCAAGAAAAATCACCCTTTTGCTTGTTTTTAAATGAACCAAAGGAAACGACAGACTGAAAGAAACAAAGAGACCCAATAATTTATTGGCAGAGCTGGAAGGGGGCACTTGCAAACCAACAGGCTGGCTCTCAACTAGGACACTTCTCCCAGCTGCAGAGATGTTCTTAATACTGGTATCCCACAGCAGAAGGCTCTGGCATGAGTGTGAGATTGCAACATCCTAGGTGCAGTGTACAGAGAGGAAGAAGAAAGTGCTGAAGGAGGCGCCTTGGTGGCACGCTGCTAAGGGAAAGGTTGGCCTCCCGCCCCCGCACCAAAGAGAGTTTGTGTGACAAGGTCAGCCTGGTGTCAGTCACCGATGCTCAGGGCGTTGAGTGGGATCCTTCCCCAGAGAGGAGAGCGAAGAGGGACCTGGTCAATCCAGGCTGCAAGTCCCTTCAGAGACCGGAGGGCATGGATGAGACCTCTCCTTGGTTTCCAAGGTGGTGAGGAGTCCAGTGCCAACCTTGCTGTTCTCACAATGTGATTTTTGTATTTCGAAAGCTTGAATTATCCCTGGAAGACAGAGAGGGAGAGAACAGGAGATTAGCATCATATGAGCAAGGACTTGGCTTCCAGGACAAGTCTCATGTGTTCCATGATGCAGACTGGAAATGGGTGGGTTTTTAGTAGCTGCGCTTGCTCTCAAATCAGACCAGCTAACTGCTAAGCAAATCCACATTCTAGTCAGTGCTCCCACTCAAACCCCAGATGCTACTAGTCACCGGTGCACTTAGATGGAAGAGGAGAAGATCCTGGGTTCCTCCTTATCTGTTAGGAAGGTTCAAGGATGATAGTAGCTGTCAGCCATGGGCTCATTTGCCATCTCAAAACTTCCCAGTAGATTTCAGGATAAGAGCAAGCGCCTCTCGTACAGGGCCTCATCTATTCGGTTCTCAAGCAAACAACAGCTACTTTGTTTGGCAGCTGAGCTCATAGCTCTAATCTCAATGGCAGTCTGACCTCTCTTGATTTTATCCCCGATACAGGGAGCTCTTTGTAAGAGACACTATCAAGAAGTTCAGATTTTACCAACCTCAAGAACTCCATGACCTGGAAGGGAAACTCCTAGAGCTGATACTGCAGCCCTCATTCACGTGAGCAGGGCACCAATAAAAGGGGACTGCGGAACAAGAGCACATGTGTATCTATTAGGGGTGCACCAATGAAGACTTTCTGGTCCAATACTGATGGCCGATTATTAACGAGCCATACTGGCTAATACCGACTCGATTGCCGATACGCAAGCCCAGCAGCTTGGAGAGCAGCATCCAGCTGGTAAGTCGGTTGAGGGGGAAGGGGCGGGAAGTGGAGGAGGGAAGGGCATGGGAGTGCAGACTGAGGCCCCTGCAGTGATGGAGGGAGTGGGGCTGAGGCTGGGGCAGGCGTTGTGCAGCTGGGGCACGGCAAGGTGTAGGACAGAGCCACAAGTGGCTTGTCCAGGGGGCAGCTCCCACTGCTATGCACTCCCCCTGGGGAGGCATGGGGGACATATGCCCCCAAATCTGTGCATGGGGCAGAAGCAGGCTGCCCACTACAGGCTGAGGCAGTACTAGGCTCTCCCTGGCAGGGTGCTCGGGCCAGGGCTGCGGCACTGGGAGGAGATGGTTTGGGGGTGGCTATGGCAAATTTTGGGGTGGCTGCAGCCCACTCTGTAGCCCCCGCTCCCAGCACTGCTGTTACCCGCCCCAGCCCAACCCCCCACTGGGAAGAGCCTGGCACTGCTCCCAGCCCTGAGCGCAGTGGCAGCCCCCTTCCCCGCACACAAATCCAGGGGGCATGCACCCCCCATGCCTCCCTCATGGATGTGTGCAGTGGTGGGAGCCTCCCACCCTGCCCCCCACACCTCCTGGATGAGCCGCTCGCAGCTGTCCTACACCCCACCTGTGCAGCGCTTGCCTCTGCCCCAGCCCCACTCCCTCCCTCTCTGCAGGGGCCTCAATCTGCCCCCACCCCTTTCCCCCAAGAGACTTACCGTCTGGACGCAGCTGTCCAAGCTTCTGGGCTGCACTCCTGGCCGCACACATGCACGCAGCATTTATTGGTGACACTACTGGCCACATTAGCCAAAAAAGCCAACTGCCGATAATGTCAATTCTTTTTTCATTGATGCTGATACAATATGGACTGATGTATTGGTGCACCTCTAGTACTTATTCTTTCAACACATGACCTGTCACTAAAAGCTCAGGTCTCTGACAGCCATAGGGCCTGGGCTTTCTGCTCACCCTACAAAAGCGTGACACTGGGCCCTACAGGAATGAACAAGCTGGGTTGGGGGACTCTACAAGGTTAGATCAAGCACACGTCCCAGCAGGTCAGCACAGCTAGCTGAAGCCATGCTACAGAATAGAGGCAGGCAGTAAGAAGTGGAGATTACTGAAGGACTGCGAAATGCTTCTTAAACCTCTGGGCTAGCTCTGTGCTCTGCTGAAGTGCTGTGTGGACCCTGGACAGCCGGCAGGGCAGTCTGGCCTTTCTTGGGGGGATTTGACAGTAGTCTTTTTCAAGTCTATTGTATGCTGGACACCCTTCTGCTATCTGGGGTGTTAAATGCATTATCCTGCTATAAGACACATGCTTGGAGGTCACCCTCAGAAAGGCTGTGCTAAGCACCATAGTCCTGTGCTCCCTGACACCAGAGCTGGGCAGCCCTGCTAGTTGGGGGCACGGTTCTAAACTCACTAGTGCAACCCAGGTATCTGACGGCAGCTGCCTGATGCCTCATCTCCCAGCACTGTTCTCTCGCCCACGCCAAGCCTACAGATGGCAAAAGAGTTCACCTTGAAGAGCAGGTTCCTACAGGTCTCTAATTAGCGATTAGCTGTTGCCTAGCAGGGGGAATCCTGACTTTCTCTCTTCATTCCCCATTACCATGAAGTCCCCAGTGCCTATTTCTCAGTTACCCAGGCTCTCTCTGCTCCTGTCACTGCTTGCTCTGCTCAATGTGGGTAACAAAGGCAATTAAGACAGTTGAGTCAATATTACCAGCATATTCAAATGTGCTTTGCACATCTACCATCTTCTATCGGTAAATCACCAACGGTGCTGTTATTTTATTCTAGAAGGTCATGGGAAGGTCTTCTAATAATACAAACAGCACTGAGTACCGTGTTTAGTGTTTCATAAACATCTCGTTAATCCTCCCACAAAGCCAATCCTGTGAGGTAGGCAAGAAAAATTTCTTTGTTTCTTCCACAATCACCGAGTGAGTTTATCCAATGCATTTCTGCTGGATGGTAAGGTGGGAAGTGGTGGCAGCTGGGGGGTTACCAACTAAGCTTGGAAGGTAGCTTTGCATGTACAGCTTTATGGTATTTGGGACATTGCAACACATCCCCCTTGGGCAAGTTACTGTGCACTGATGTGTAGCAACCAGAGTGATTACTCAGCAGCAATCCAGCTCATCTACAGCGTCATGACAACAGAACGAGCCTCAAGTTCACTTAAAGGAAGGTGCCTGCCATCACAAAAGTGGACAGTAAGGGACTGAAGATGCTCTTGGTCATGAGATTCACCTCTGTGCTGAACCTGACTACCCTACTTATCTGCACATGGTTGCCATTAACAGAGGAACCTGTGGAGCCTCATCCTGTTACCCACAGTTTGTGCTATTTTTAAAACAGAGCAATTCCTGCATGATCTTCCCAGACAAGCTTTCATAGGTGGTCCAATTTATTCTGCCATGCTTGGCAGCGAGAGCAAAGGCATGCATGCCAAGCTCAAAGCGCCTTTACCAGTGGGCAAATGTATGTACCAGTGTCTGATTCCAGCTCTAAACAGCCAACCCCTGTGCAGTACAAACAAGCTGAGGCCATACCTCTCAGCCTCCTGGGCCTGGGCCTGGGATGTAGCTGCCTTGCAGACACAGGACACATCATCAAAACAGCAGCCAGCATCCCGGCAGGTAATGCAAAGTAAAGAGACACAACACTTCATGGTGAGAATGTTAGTGCTTTTGGATTCAAAGATCACTTTTGATCTTAACTTAGCCAATAGCAAAACGGGACGGATCACAGGCCCACAATGCAAGCCTGTGTTGGGGTCAGAGTTGGAGGACCATCCCTGTGGCGGAGAGGTATGCCATACAGTCGCGTAAGAAGAAAGATGAGGCCCTACCCTGGGTGTGACAGAGAGAAGGGGAGCCTTCAATCAGCGGCCACTGCTGTTCACCAGGCCATGAAACTCCTCCCAGGCCCTGGCAAGCCAGAGGGAAAAAAAACAGCACTTGAGATCAAAGGCTTCTTAACTTTAATGAGAGCAGAGACATTCAATGGCGTTTTGAAAAGCACTCGTTGGGGAGCAAGGCAATATTCTCAGACAGCCTTAGTGGACAGAAGCATCCTTAAAATCCAGCCAAGCCTCTGACAGCGTGAGCAGCTTTGAACTCCAGCACTGCCAGGGCACTTCCTCATTGGTTGGCGGTGATCAAACCGTGTTAATACCCAGAGACAAGGCGATGACCTCCTTCCTTTTTTAAAACTGAATTTCTATTTCCCATAGCTAATAAAATAACCCAGGCTAGAGGACTGTCACAGTCCTTGGCTGCTTAAACTACACTAGCTTCTGGGCTCCTGCTTCAGCACATACCTAGATATGTGAACCCCCTGAAATGCATTTATTTTTATGCCATATGGCTTCATTATTACCCCATTCTCTAACCAGGCTTCAGAATCCAATTATTATTAGACAGTCTCATTTTCTAGCATAAACCTGCATTGTTAATGACAACCACAATAGATGCGCTACAGCTATTTGAAACGAAAGTGCTTTCAGATAAGTCACAGGGACAGGCCTAACGTTCCATTCCCTGGTGGAGGATGTGCTCCTGATGGACAAAGCTAGTAGACTGAGAAATTGCTGTCTGTTATACAAGGACAGCATACCGAGAGCTCTCTCCGGGAAACAACGCTGAGGTTAATACAACCATGACTAGTATCTTCTGGAATCAGATACATCAAAGGGCTTTGTAGCTCTCAGGGCTCCTGAATACAGCATGTGGGGCTGCAGTTCATGCCAAGCCATTTAACGTAACCTAAGCAATCCCAGAGGCACCAGGAGATTAGAGACAAACCAGCTCAGTGTCAAATCTGATTCTACCCAATAGGTACTTATTTCCAGACCTGAAGCTCATTATTTTGCAATGGGCTTTAAGACAACCCACTGCCAGCATGGCAAGGAAGAGTCCGGAAGGACATTCCACACTGCCACTGTGCTCTGGATCTTCCGTGCCTCCAAGCTAGGCCGTACGCTGCATGCTCTGCCATTTTCTGGCCAGCCTTGCAGAGGGAGCCCAGGAGAGTGGAAATGTATAACGCCAGGACTGAGAACTTGGATCTAAATACATGCTCTTCCTTTTGAAGAGTGAGGAGGGCTAGATTTCCCCTCCACAGGTGACCTGCACTAAAGACCAAAGGCCTCCATACCTCTCAGTAAGGAACAAGAACCCCCCTCAATGCACCTCAGTCCTGCAGGGATGGCCCTTCCAGGGAGAAAACACAGGAACTCAGCCCTCGGCCTGTGTGGCCTGCCAAAGGGACCTGTTAATACCCACTGAAATGCTGTGCTGCCAAGAGTTGGCTTCTTTCCCATCAGTTCTTCTCTCGTCTCCCAGAATGTCCTTCACCAGGATGGACAAGTGATGAACAGTCAGCCCACAGCACCCCTTCAGAGACAACACCCACTGGTCAGGGCTAGGCAGCAGCCCCGTGCCAGCCCTTTGCTCTGATGGAACTAATGGAACGAGAGGGGGAACGCTGCAAAGGTAGTGGGGCAGCACAGGTGCAGGGCAGGGGCTGCTGTTTGGTTTGGTTTGTGTACCAGCCTCTCCCATGACTGGCTAGGGTTCAGAGCAATGTTAGGTCAAAGGCAAATGAGGGGGATCATGGGAGGGGACCTCACTGTGGCTTCTAGCAGGTATTTCTCCAGAGGAGTTTCACAACACCAGTTTGGCCAGCGTGGCAGGTTCTGCTTGGGGAACAGTCCAAAAACAGAAGAGCCAGGCTAGAAGCTCACTGCCAGGAAACAGCACAGAGACAAGTTATAACAGGAAAAATCCCTACCCCACTTCTGCATCCCATGACTTCTCTACCTCCAAGCATGGCCTACACGCAAGGTCTCCCCTCTTTGCATACACCTGGCTGGTACCAACAATCAGGACTACAAGGCCAGGAAACCATGCAGAGAAAGGGATCTTCAGAGCCCTGGATAGGGTTGAAAGCACCCTAAGCTGCAAAACACATGGAGGCTGGAATAAGAAGGACAACAAAATGGAGCCCTTCTGACCAGGTGCATCTGCTTCTGACCGCCTATGCAGTCTCCCTCTTCTGGTCCTTGCCTCCTCTCCCCTTCGCTCCCCTCATCTGCTGCACAGGGCCTGAACTTCTCCACTGCAGGCTGTCCCCAGCTCTTCTCTGGTTAATGTTGCTGCCTTTGTGTCTTTCTCCCCTACTTTACCACCTCCAGTGCTTCCTTGGTCTCCTTTCCTGATAGCACCAGTTATTCCTGGACAGATTTATTTCTGATATGAACCCAGCGCCCACCTTCTCCAGTTAGGATCACCCTGGCTGCTGTACCTATGCTGTGCTCCGACTGCCAAGTCCCATTCCTAACCTGGGAGCAAAAGTCCTTCATAGTGCAGGAAATCTAGAACACAAAGCCTCACACATGATACAGGAATAAGGGAAATCAGAAACCTCTGCTGCCTTGCCTGAGAAGGCCACTCCTGTTACTGTGTTCCCCAATGCCCCAGTACAGCTCTGGGTCAGCAGACGTAGGCACTTTTCAGAGCCCTGCAACCACAGCAGCTGAGCACCACACATAGATGGGGTGGGGGATTATTTCTATTTAACAGATGGGGAAACTGAAGCATTGGTGACTAAGTGGGCTCCATCATGGGCCACGCTCGTGGAAGCACTTGGACTTGGGTGGTGCCTCCACTTCTGCCATGAGGCCTGGGGAGAAGAACTGCAGTGAGAAGCCAGCAGAAGACTCCATTGACAGAAGCGGCTGCAGAGGCTGCCAGAACCAGGTCGAAGGCCTCCGAGACCCTCCTGCAACTCTGACTGTCCCAGCCCTCCCTCTTCTTCCATTTCAAGCTAGTATCTCTCAGCCCTTCCCATCTTGCTGATCCTAACCCAACCTACCCTAAAAAGATATGCAAACTAATATGTCTTCTTCTGCCATCAGCATTCACTGTGCATTCTGCCATTCCTTCCACCTGGTGGGTTTTGTCTCCGTAGTCTTGTTCCTGCTCTTGGCACAGGGACCATCTATGACACTGTGTGTGGACAGCTCCCAGAAGAATGGAGCTCCATCCTTGGCTGGCCCTACCATAACAACAGACTTGCTCGAAGTCATCTAGGAAGTGATCCCAGATCCTTCCAACCTCTCCTTCCTTTTGCTTAAAAAAAAAAAAAAAAAAACAAGAACAAAACCTTTTCAGATCTCTGGTAGCACCTAGAAACATCTAGGTACAGTGTTCCAGAAGGCAGTAGTCACCTTTTGACCTTAACATTTGAGCTGCATTCCCCAAGAAGAAATACGGAATAAATGCGTTTTACTTTTAGCCCCTTTACAGTGAAGGAACAAGCCCCCAAGATACCGAGCCTTACAGATTCACCAACACCCCCATATGTCATTGTCCAAATAAACTTGAAGAGGCATCACCCCCTTTTCAAAGCTCTGGGCCAGAAGAGTGCTCTTTAAAACCTGGATGTCTACTAGGGGCAGGGCCAGAACTGGAAGAGGAATCCCCCAGCTATCCTGAGTCACTATTTCCAGGGACCTGAAAAAAGGTGGACAGCCCTCAGCTCTGGCACTTCCCTGAGCTCCATTACACTGTCTGCCTAGTCTTAGACCTAGAAGCAAGCAGTGAACAATCCACATTCAAGTCACTCCTCCCAACATGAGGGACAACTCGTCATACTGGAGGTGTGCCACAGTAAAGGGAGGACTTCTCTGCATTCACACAGCTCTCCCCCCCTTCAAGTATCTAATTTTGTAACGATACAAAATGTAATTAAGGATAAAAGGTGGTGGGGTGAAGCCACATGCAGCTCAAAGCCAAGCAGAGGGCTGTAGGAGTGACTGCAACCTTCAAAAACGTTGCTTCCCAGTTTGCAAGGAGTTACAATGGACGGAAGACCAGGGGTCCCAGTGAGTCATGCGAACCGTTGAGCCAGCAGCAAAGACTTTTCTCCCCAGATTAAGCCATTAGCCAACCATCTTCCTTCCCATTAGGAACAGGGTGACTCTTCAGACTTCACTGCCATACAGCACTACCCTCATAGGGATGTCGCTTCTCATCAGTCTTTGGCGTCTGAATAGCTGTTGTCCCCTTCCCTTGTCCTGGGAGAGCTCCGTGTAACCCCTAATCATTCCTCTGTACTGCATAACTCCCTCTTCCTTTCTGTAGCATATCTACTTGCTCCCTGGCCAAAGGAAGGTCTGAGGTTATTGTCAGCAAGTGCCTGCAGTGAAACAGCCCTAATGCCAGCACTGTTAAGATCAGCCATTCTTTTAATTCACTCTCATAGTCCCATTAGTTATCAGCAGTCCCTGAGAGGAAGGGATAGTTTTATACTCTGTTCAGCTCCCACTCCAGCGGGCACTTTCAAGCACAGTTTTGTTCTCAGAAAAGCAGCTTTGCTTTAAAGCTGACAGGATGATCCATAAAGTCACTCAGCAACCAAAATACTGCCAGTCCAGAGAGCTCAGCAGAAGCCCATGTGCTGCCACTCAAGGAATACATCTGTCTCCCACAAAGAGAGCATAATTCTTGACTTACCCTTAGCTGCTGACAGAAGCTGTTGATGGAAGACAAACCCCCATGCCCCAGACACAAACCAGAAGCAGGAAAGAAGGATGAGGTGCGAAACACTGCTAGTGAAGGAAACCCTTCCTGTAGGGCACCTTGGCATAACAGGAGCTTTCTAGTTAGAAGCACAGCGTTTCCCTACGTGTTCACAGCATGGAAATTGTAGTGCTCTAGAAAACCCTTAACCGAAAGAAATGTATTAGGCAGTGTGGGAGCGGGGGAGTAAGACTTCTCCTCAGCCACACAACTAGACCTCTCTGAAACCTCCTAGGTGCCCAGTACTGCCAGATGAAGGGTATTAACTGCCTTCTGGACTTTGTCAGCTTTCCGGGACCATTTTTCTAGCAAGACTGGAGATGGATACAAGACTAGAGTAAGCTGCCTGCTTCCGGGGGCTTAGACAGTTTGTCAATACTGCACACGAGGAAAGAGGAACTCAGGAAACCCATTCTGAAGGGTCTGCTTATGTGGCTAAACGTGCAAACCCGCTGCTGCCAAGAGGAAGGACTGAAGGCAGGGCAGCCTCAGGGAAAGTCTAATGAACAAGTTCCTTTTCAAACACAGCTTCACTGTATTGAGCCTGTCAGCAAGGAGCTCACAACCTCACCAACGCAGGGCCCAGAAAAGCAGGTTTCAGAAGAATAAATGTAATGGCTCAGGAGTGATAGCCAAGTCTTGCGCCAGATCCCAGAGCAGAGCACACACTGGAGAGATCCTGGAAAACCAGTTCTCTAAACAAAGCTTCAGATTTTAAGCAGTACCGACTAAGCATGCTCCCTCCCTCCAAGCACCATTGCTGCTAATCAAATTCTGTATGCAAGCAGCCCAGAGACATTAAAACATTGCAAGCCACCCAGAAAGGAAATACCAAGCAAGCCCCCAACACAGCTGCTTCATTGGAGCCTTTCGTAAAGCAGAGCCACAGAGTGTGAATGCAACGCACTGGCTAGGAAGCCTGCCAGAGTCCTAAATCAAGTGGTGCATGTGCGACAGGAGTTCACCTGACAACAGACAGCATGTCAAGAGGATTTGATGGATAGGAAGGGGAAAGGGGGAGCCTTCCTGGAGGAGATAGACACACAAGAAATCCTGCCCTAGCGAGAGGAGCCTGCTAACATGATTCAGCCTGCACATGCGGTCAGACTGCAGCAAGTGCTGTCGTTCCCTGCCGTCGTCAGGGCCTCAGTGGCTGTGCCCAATCCAGTTTACAGCCATAGCTACAGCCACAAAGAGCTGCTTGCAACTACTATGTGCAAATGCAGGTGATATGAGAGAGAGAGAGAGAGAACGAACAGTTCAGTTGCTGCTCCCAGTTGCTGCTCCGTTACCTTGATTCAAGTGCAGGGTGATGACTCTGATAAGTAGGTTCCCTCTGCGTTTGCACAGGTGGAACAGATCAGAATCTACCCAGCAGATGCAGTGCCATTAAGGGAATGTTGGGATGGAGTACAGGCTAGCTCTGCCTTAGGAGGGGCTGCAAGCCCGCTGTCAGTATGCCCAAGTGCAGAAGAATAAGCAGGAAATAAGCCAACTAACCCCATTCAAGACCTGCTCTCAGCTGCTAGACTGAATCCCAATCTTAATGGGAATCTGCTCCCCAAACACCTGCTATGCCCAGACAATGACATCCTGGATTTCACATCAGCAAAAGAAAATGAAACAGCAACAGCCCAAGAGCGGAGGCCAGCAAGGAAGGGATGGAAGGAACTGAATAAATTTGGAAAGATCACATGAGCAGGCTGGAGGCAGTGCAATACATGGCTTCCCTCAAAAGTGTGAATCCCTACACAGGAAGGAGCCACGCTGTGTTCCTGCAGAAGTAGGGGAGGATGTCATGCAGAGGATGTATCTCAACTTTCCATGGTAAAACCTCTCTGCCTAACCCAGACAGCAGAGGTGCTCCCAGCCCCCCATGGCTGGAATGCTGGCTCAGGGCAAGGGCTCTCTTTGCCAAGGCTAGGGAGAGAAGAGAAGACAAATGAGGATGTTAAACCCAGAGATGCCGATTCCTCTCACTGCAAGGAGCCCACAGCCTTAGCATGCAGGCTGCATTGTCTCTGAAAAGTACTACAGAAACTGAATAGCCACCTGCAGGTCTGCAGAAGCCCTGTACAATCCTGTAATCAAGACAGATGTGGCAGAAGCAATGCCCTCTATTGACAATTAGTGGAAGCAGGTGGGAGAAGTAGCGCCACTGTCCAGCAACAGGGACATGTACTCCTCAGAGTCCAGCAAGAAGATCCAACAATCATTTCAGTGGGAGCCTTTGGAAACAGAAGTCAGGAACAGAGTCCATTTAAGAAGAATAATGAGCCTGCCCTCCCATTCACAAGCAGCCATCTGAGAAGGCCACAGGTGGGGTCCAGAAGCTCTTTGGGGTTCCTATCAGAAACGGGATTTGACTAGCTAACCCTGAGTCTAAACCTGCAGCGATTGTGACAGGCACTTTTCACTAAACATTAGACTGATCATCCTACACTGTGACATAGCCTGAGCAGCCATGTGGGACAGAGGGCTTACCAAGGATTCAGCAAGTTTTAGCTATGGAAAGAGGCTCTGCCTAGGAAATCTTGATGGGTACTTGGCCTGTGGTGGTTCCAGGCTGGATTCAAAAGCCCGAGTTCTAATGCCAGGAATTCCTGTCCTTATTATTAATTTGTTCAATTGCTTTTTTGCATATGTAACACTTCAAAGTGCCCTTAACCCGACCCACGTGACTGAATCTGTGTTCTGGCTTCTAATGCACTTAACAGAAAAAGGGTCTGTGTTATTCACTTCCATCTAATACCCCTATATGCAATGATTCTGTCACTTTGCGGGAAATAAACATCACCGTGAATAGCCTGGCATGGCAAACTGTAATGGGCTTATTTAAAAATACAGCTGTCCTCTCTGTGTACCATGAGCCTCTAGTCTTGTTAAAGAGCCTCTGTCACTAGGGGCCGGGAGGATTTAATATACAGCATTTATTATGATTAGAAATCATTTGTACAGCACTGTAAATTCACACGGCGCTTTCCCAGGAACATTTATAAGTCTAATGGCCCAATAAATCCCAGTTAGCTTCCGTATTTTATTTTGCAGAAACTCTACTCATTCAAATAATCTGTTCCCCACTGCAATTTTGTCTCTGAACAGATAAAACCATGTTCCCCCATTGTAGAGCCCAGTTCCCAGATGAAGGAGACGGTAGGTTGTTAGTGAAGACCAGGACTGCATGTGATAGAAAACCAAGATGTTTTTACTGTTGAAAAGCAAATATCCCCAACAGCAGCAGGGCAATATCACAGGCTTTTGACTTTTAAAGTGACCTGGCACAAGAGCTGCTGTTTGTATCTGCTGACAGTCAAAACAGTCCCAAAGCACTGGTACACAAACAACACACGTGACCACTCCTTTGTACCCCTGCACCTTGCGTTAAGCCGCCAAATGTATGGGTAACCAGCACCGCTCCCTCCCAAACTGCGGCACGTACTTGATGCTGTCGGTGTGTGTCTTGTATTCCATGATGGTGTTGGGAGGTAGATTAAGCACTCGCCGCAGCGTGTCACGTATCCGGGCTGTGGTTGCCTGGTCGCTGGCCGTCTTGTTCCATATTGAGATAATGTCCTCCTGGAGCACAAGGATTGGAGGGGTTAGCAGAGGGCAGCATGTGTAAACCAGCCAGCAGGCACACCTGACAGTCCGCCGAGCAGCTTACCTGGAACCGGACAGAGACGACTGCCCCGCAGATCTCTTCCCCCACCATAAATTGTTCTCCCAGCATGGCCAGAATGAGATTCTCCCAGCATCGTGATGCTAAGCCCTTCCTCAGACGGATAATCCATTTTCCACCATTTTTGTTGGCATCGTCCTGGGAAGAGGGATGAGAAATTGATTTGTTTCCTCGCAGTAATTTTTTCTGCTTTCCATTAAAGGACATCTTTGGGTGGGAGCAGATATTGATCAGATGGGGTATGAGTGACAGAACCAAGGTATTTTCAAGATAAAACATTACAAAACCTACCTCACGCCTAGTGCACGACATGGATATTTTGAACCCAGGCAGAATGGGAGATGCCAACTCACTGCTTTCCAGAGATTCTCTTCCTACTCATTATGTCCTATTCATTATGTACTTGTGCTTTAGAGTTTAACTGACAAAAAGAGACCACACTACTGGCTGTGCATAGAACTAGAAGACAGGAACTCCTGTATTCCACCACCAGCTCTGACACCAATTGCCTTTCTGGCCTAAAACGAGCCAGTCCCACCCTGGAGTTGAGTTTTCCCATCAGGGAAATGAGGACACTACTTCTTCCCCTGGCTGGGATGTTGAGGGAGGGAGCACTTGTAAAGTGCTTCTGAAAACCTAACGGCAATTTGGAGAAATAGCTTGGTCTCTGCAAGTCACTGACAGATATGTTAAAGTTCAAGCTCCTTCCACTTGACCACCATGCTCGGAGTGAATCAAAGCCCCATTGCTTGGACCACCACAAATGGAAGCTGAAGATTTTAGGGCAGAATGTGTCAGGGAGAGCCCCATGCAAGAACAATCCAAATCAGCACAACTGCCAGGAATGCAGCAAATTACTGACAGGAGCAAACTGCTTTCTGATTAAGTGCTCTATTCTCCTACTTGCGAGCATCCCCCCTTTAGAAATGAGCTGTCTCGGATTCAATCCTTAACAGGCATTTAGTTTAACCCATTCAAGGCCACTTTACAAGGAGTGAGCGGGGAAATCAGGGAGTAAAACAAAGAGTAGTAGATATGATCACTAGATAATCAGCACTTGCTCAAGTAAGGTCAGGGCCACAATAAGGACAGGAAGTGGGATAAAATAACCCCTGCTATTTTGCTCCTGTGGGAATTTGTTTTTTCCCTCCAGCGATAAACAAATCTTTATTTAGTCATTTGTCTAATTTTTCTTTGCTGGCTGAAAGAGAGTAAAGCTCAGTAAAAAAAACCCAAACCCAGTAGTGTTACTACTGAAGCTTCTGATATCTGGTGGAGAAAGGCAGAAAAGGACTGGGGATGATGAGACCAATGCAGAGGGGTGTATGTGGGGAACTGGCACTTCCACAGGATGGGAGGGAAGCCACAAGGAGGGAAGCCACTAGGAAATGGGGGAGAGGCCTAGAAAACAAGTGGGGAAAAGAAGGCAAAAGTGAAGGGAGTATCAGAAATTAAAGAACAGCTATTTTAAGATGCATAAGAGAAAATGCTTTTTAAAACTCCAGATACCGTTAACCTGGGGAGTTTTGGCTGCATCATGTTACCAAAGGCAGGAGCTCATTAGAAGCTCAAAGGGGGTTAGACATCTTATATAAATAGCATTCGCAAGAATGCAAGCTATAAGCCCCCGTTGTGAACGAACTGCCAGCTGAGTTCAGAAATAAATTCTTCTGGATGAAGCAGTGTAATTAGGCACTTGAGAGCAAGACATAAAATTCTTATACTGCAAGCAGTGGTGGTCATTGCTGGAAACGAGCCAGCAAGCTGGGGGGAAAATTGATCCAGGCTGTTTCCACACAGCTCCACAATAAGAATTCAGTTTGCTTCTGTATGTAATTCTAAGGAAGAGAGGGAGATGGGGATATAGATCAAAGCCTTCGCACAACCATTTACTCTCTGTGCCTGCACTTTTACCCCTACTTGCTTCTTCTACACAAGGAGATTTGGACTGTGGAATACACTTATAGTGGCACAGGGTTCAAGAAACCCCCACACTGATGTCAATGGAATCGGATCCAACAAAAGGTGAATGTGTTACAGTGGCCAGGTGCTTTGAGTCTCCAGAACCCACGTTCTCAGATGGGAGGCAGCCAATGAGAGGCAGTTCTCAGTTTCCTGATGACAGGCAGCTAGTTGTGCTCCTGTACACCCCTCTGTATGCAGGGCAACATCAGTAGCTGCTACATGAAAGAGGACAGGGTGAAGTTAGACGCATGCAACTCAGAAAAAAAAATGTAGGGCAGGAGTCCTGCACTGCAAACACTATCCCTCTAGAACACAGAGGTAAATGAGCCATGGTCCAGGGCACCAACTCACCTCCCACATGGGCTTGATTCCCTCTTTGAAGAGATGGAAGTCGCTGTGGCCTGTCAGGTCCCCAGGACGTACCATGTGGCTGTAAAACCTCCAGAACTGCTCCACCTGTAATAGCACAGCCACAGCAATCAGCAACAAGCCAATGCTTTCTATGTCGCAAGATCAGGGCGCTCTCACCATCAGAAGGAGACTTGGGTTCTGCACCAGGCAAGCCTGGCTTGCAACTCCTTTCCCTCTGCTAAGTCAGGTCTACTCTGCCCCCTCTCCCTCTATACTGTACAGAGAAAGCTAAAATATTTGGAATGGGCCTAGGGGACTGATGGGGTTGGTACCAGAGTGACTCTAAGTACATGAAGCTGCCTGCCTGGCACTTATCAGCACATGGCTTGGTGTATCTGCTGTACTTACACACCATGTAATTCATGAAGGTGTAGGCAAGTCAAACTGCACTGGGGCCTCCATCAGATACTGTGAAAGTCCCACCCTACAGGACCGCAATTACCAGCCAGCAGTGAAACAGCTCAGCTCATCGGCAGGCTGCCACTGGGCTCAGAGACCACAGAACCACTTAATTAACCCTTGCTTTCCACACCAGGGGAGGCTTCAAGATTTCTCCTCACAGGAGAAGAGCAGATTGGGGGATTTGTAGGATCACAAACACTTTCTGATGTTGGTTTAGGATTTTAAACAACTTTGAAAAGTGATTGCTCAAGCAGTTGTTTAGGCAACTCTAAAATCAACCACTCTGTTTTAACCCCTTTCCCGGCTGGCTGCTACTGCAGCAATCTTTAAATTGGCTTTCATGCCAACGCTGAGTGATGTACACGCGTCTCTAATGCTTAAAAGGTTTTTGTCTTGTTTTTAAACGACAAGACATTTCAGACATTTCTTATCTATTGTGCTGCTCTAGACAAGAAAAAATATTTTTAAAATAAGGCCCTGTGAACTAGATCCTGCATTCACTGAATTCAATGGCAAAGCTCCCACTGATTTTGGTCAACCCTGTTGGGCCTGGCCTAGCCAAAGAACAAGTAACAAAACAGTTAACGTTTATATTTTGCAGTTTTAGTCAATAGCAAGATTAAAGATAAGCAAATGCTACCCTGACTACTAACACAAAACCTGTTGGGCCTGAACATCCATTTAGACCTTGGAATTGTTTTCAGACCATCTCTACTTATTACCTTTCAGAGAAAAAAAATCCTATTTAATAGCTGATCACTACAGCACAAGAAATCGGGTTGGAGGAAGGAGTCTGTCTTTGTTGTTTTACAGCTTATCATTAAAACACATTGTGGATACTAGATCTGTTACAATGTTTGCTACGCCCTCTAGCGGCCAGTATCTAGATAGCTGTCACGGGTTCAGAAATGATGTTTGATAAATTTCCCTAAAACCTAAGGTATTACTGGGATGTAAAAGGAACCTGTGACCCTAACATTAAGCAGTGAAATTAGTGTATTTTTTTAAACACAGCTCAAATGGTTTGATAGCTATTTGCCATGTGATCTCTCACACAACTCTCTGTGGTTCCCACACAGCTATACGAGCATGCAAGTAAATCGCACTTGTTGAAGCAAAAGATGCTGATGAATTCCAAGCCTCCAAATGATGACCATCATTCTTATGGAACCCTTCCCATTCCCACCAGCATTTGGGTCTGACCCAGCTGTCTGGACTAGCATGTCTGAAGGCTCAGCGTACCAAACGTAGGTAGAGGAACTGGGAGTTCCCTTAACTAAGCACATCCAGAGCTGTATGGAAGAGTTATTTTAATACTTCAAATATTCCAGCAGAGTTCAGAGGGGACAGGATTAACACTCTGGGAAAGTCACTCTATCTTAAAAAAAGGAATCAGCTTCTTTTACAGTCCTGATCACCATGGAGATCCTGAACCCAATCACCAACAAGGTCTGGTTTTATTTCTGTCACTGAAAGATCTAGAAGGAATTGTTCTGTGAGGGTCCCATGTTTCCTGGCTTTTCAATACCATTTCAGAGGGCAGCCTCATCCAACTTTATTTTTTAGCCCTCACCTCCACAAAAGCACAAGGAGGCAATGAGCCAGTCATGAGATCCAAGCCCACCAGCTTGTCACATGTATGATGGAAATGCCTGCATCAAGCACATCAGTTATAAAGCAAAAGAGATTCTGCACCCCCACCCCGAGAACAGAGGAGCTTTCTGTTTAAGATCCATGTCAGTGGGAGTGTAGACACAAAGCGAGCTGCAGATGTTCAACATTTCTAAACATGGGAAAGTCATTTCTTCCTTTACTTACCTGCTAAGTCTTGCAAACAAGTTGGCATGCACCTACCAGACTTACAGCTGACCGGAAATGCTTTGACTGGCCCTGACTTACAACTAAGGATTCTGCCATTAACGAAGACACTAACCCTTCAATGACAAGTAGCAGCACTCCATAGTCGTACCTTCTCCTGATCTTTTTTAATAACATCATCACATTTTAAGCCAAGGTTGTCAAATGTGTTGGGTGCTGTGGGCTGGATCCAGACTGCAGGGCTTCCCATGGGCCAGACAACCCGTGAGCAATGGTGCACTGTCTGAGCTGCTGGAGCTAGTTTTGGTGCTAGTTTTGTTGCTCATCTCTTCCCTTCCCTCCTGCCCTCTCCCTTGCTGCTAATCTTATTCGCCAGGAGCTACTAACCACCCACCACCCTCCATTTCAGCAGTGGGTAGGGGATGGAGGTGAAGTGTTAGTTTCCTAGATTGGGAAGCAGCAGAGATTAATGCTGACATGGTACCAAGCCCCTCAGGCCAAACCTGGCCTGCAGAGGTGGCTGGTCCAGCCTGTGTGAAGACCCACCTTCATGGGCTGGATTGGGCCTACCAACCATATGTTTGACACCACTGTTTTAGGCAGATTAGAATTCAGGTCTTGGGTCTTGGCAAACAAGCCACCCACCTTTCCATCTGATGGCAGAGATTCAGACACATGTCACTGCCTAGCACCACAGAGAAAAGTCACCCTGAGCGGTTGCACTGCGCTTAGACAATAACGCGCAACAATGGGGATGTACTCACGGAGGCAAAGGTGCCAATCTGTTTGATGTTCTGCTCGTAGCTCTGCGAGCTGGTGGGCCTCCCGGGCGTTCGTCTGGAGTACCAGAAAGTATAATTATACTGCAGTGGGTGCTCGGCCGGCCCTGGGACAACAGCCTGCAGAACAGAGAACCTCATTTATCCTCACAAATTACTCTGGAGAGGAGACCGAGAAAGCTATATGCATGGCATTAGAAAGGCACGTGGTCCTGCCACCACAGAGCGTAAAAGGAACAGTTTAGCCTCATTTTCCTAGAAAAATCCCATCCTGGTTAATAGCTTGACACAGATCATTACTTCAGCAGTGATCGGCTGTATTTCAAAGAGGATATTAGAAATCCAGAGTACTTTCGCTCTTCGAGCAGGAAGGGAAAGTGCTAAGGGGCAGCAGCCCCAGCCCCAGGAAGAATATCACCCGATAGCAACCCCTCAGGCAAATTTAGGAAGGGCGTTAATAAATTCTGGAGAGACTCCCTTTAACCCTGGGCTGCCAGGACAGTTGCAGCGGTCCAGGCTGTCACAGGCCATGGAATGCAAAACAAAGAAGAGAATGGGAGCTTCTCACAGAGTAGTCTATTCTTCTCTTTTGGGAAAAGAAAAAGCATCTAAAGTGAACTAAACCCCAAATCAAGTGAAACCCTCCACCACAATTCCAGTGGCAGGGTTCAGTCATTTAGCTTTCTCAGAGCACTGTCAGCACGCAGGCAGATAAAGACAGAGGGAGCGCCAGGAACATCCACTGCCTATATAAAAGGCTTCCAGCGTACATTAATGCAGTCGCCAAGAAACAGATGTTGCACTAGAATCACCAACCTGACAGAGGTTCCATCATGCAAGGGAGAAGGAAAAGGTCCAAGCTGATCATGCAAAGATGTTACACTAATTAGAGAGCAAGTTTTAATGAGTGCAAGATTAAAGGAGAGGAGGTGGTTTCCCAAACCTGACTGAACCATGTTGTATCTGCTTGTAATCACTCTTCAAGGACAGGCTAGTTAAACAACAGCACAAAACTTGATCTTCTAAACCAGCAGTTTTCAACCTCAACGCAGCCTTGTGTTAGACTCCAGGCCCCCTCTGAAAACACCGGTTCCTAAGCTCTCGCTCATTTTTTTTACTACAAAAACATACTAGAGCAATTATTTTTCGTCAAAGAGCTCACAAAGACCACAACAGAGCAGAAAGATTTTGAAACGCTGGGTTTCTGTTTGAAGCGTCTGGTTTTATCTTGCAAATAGCATCTAGGTGTTTGCACACTTAACAGTACTAGCATTGCACAGCGCTTCAGGGCACCCTTAAAAGGGCTGCACGGCACCCAGCATGCTACAGTACCCTGCTTGAGAACTGCCATTCGAAACCAAGAGCAAGCTCCCATCTGCAAATACTTCTTGAGATTTGCCTGAAGCAAGTCAAGCTTTGCTTTTTGTTTCCACAAGTTCAACTCGCTGGGTGAAGATTTCTAATTGCACCGGTGAACAGGGTACTTGAGCTCAGCTTATTATACTGTACGCTCATTAGCCTTAGTTTGTTAGTACCACACTGACAGAGCAGCAAGCAAAATAACAACATGCATCTTCCATACAGCAGAGCTACTGGACTGATCAAGCCCCGTCAAGTCCAGCACCTCCAACCGTGCCTTGACGACAGCAGTGGAGCGCACAGCACTCACCTTCCTCTTGGTGCTGCCCTGGGGCTTGTCTCGGTCGTTCTTTTCCTTCTCACCGTCTTTCTGTGTGCTGTTCTCTTCGTTCTGGTCATGGTCCCCACTGTCGTCATCTTTCAAACTGATGAACGTGAGGTGGGAGGAGAGAGAGCCTTAAGTTGCGCAGGAGCAAAAATGTGGCCACCCAACGCGCGCCCCATGACACAGAGAGAAGCTGGGAGCCCGACAGAGACTCGTGCAGGGAGGTGCGTTATGAGCCCCACACCCGTCACAGGTCCCGTGGCCGATACAACGCCCAGGCATCATTTGTTATCCAATACTTAGCTGTACCAATAATGGGTATGTTACCCCGTAGATTCCTATTTAAGACAAGGTCTATTACCCCGTAGATTATTATTTAAGATGAGGTATATGACCCCACTGATAACTATATGTAAGCTGAGGCGTGTTACCCCGTCGATTCCCATTTAAGCCCAAGCATCGGACGCAGGTGAGAAGTGCCACGTGCCGGGTCAGACTGTACGTCCCTCCCGCCCCGTCCCAAACCCCGGGACCCCTCGGCCAGCCTCCTCCGGGCTCTAAATCATCTCGCGAGGACGGGGCTCAGGCCCCGGGGACGGCAGGGCTGCTTTCCTGCCCCTCCGCTGCGCACACCTGCAGGCAGGGTTGCACGGGGCGGCGCCTTGGCCTCGCTCGCTCACCACCCCTCCTCCCCCCTGGTCCATTAGGTGTTAATTTGTCCCAAGCAGTGAGTGCAATCACCAAGGGG